AAGGGTAGTTGGACGGTTGGGGTTGTGGCTTGAGGCGCTTGGGGCGGAGTGTTGGGCAAGCCACATGGCTCAAGCCCTATGGGATCTTGGACCTGACGCAGGCCAAGCTGGCTATTGATTGAAATGAGGAGGTCGCGGGCCTCCTAGGCTGCTGGAATGCTGGAATGCTGGGCATGTAAGCCTCCTGCCTGCTGGTGTGAGAGAGAAGAATGAGGGAAAAGCTAGCATGGGTTAAGCTCCTCTGCTGTCTAGTTGAGCCGAGAAAGATACATCATAAGGCCTGGCTTATGGGCAGTTGAGGTTGATCTTTAGGCTGCTCTATGCTTACTGAGCTGCTCTCTAATTTGTTGATTGTCATTCTCTGTTTATGTAGATTTGGAATTTGGCTCAATTCCCAAGACTTCTCCAAATATGAAAAAGGTGCACATTACTTTAGGTATCCTTGTTGAGTACCGTGAATGGCGTTGGTTGCTTAATCCTCTTCGCTGGGAGAAATGTGGGCTACCATCGAGAAAGGAGATAAAGCGGATCAATACGGATGCATTAGCTCTTTCGATCGTTGTCGTGGAGCCTGCTATGAATGAAGGTAGAAAGAAGAGATCTTCCTCACCTACTCAAGAGATGCTAGTTGAGAAAAAGCTGAAGGCTTCCTCTATTGCTCATGAAGGTCCGCATATTGCTAAGAGGCTTGTGATTGACTTGACTTCTTCCAAAGGAAAGAAAGATGAGGCTGCTAGATTTGAGCGTATGACGCCTGCTATGTTGAAAATAGCTAGTACGATTGCTGAAAAGATTGCTCAGAGTAGAGGTTTCGTCGTGCTCCTAGTGCCGAAGTCTGTATTGAGACATCCGTTGAGAGTTAAGTCTAGTGCACATATGGAGAGGCTTGTAACTATGAAGTGCAATAAGGTGGACCCTGATGCTAAAGTGGCACCAATGCCTATTCTTCTTGCTTTTAAGACTAGTTTGCCTGTTGAGAAAGAAGAGACTACTTGTGTGGGTTGTTGTGAGAAATCCACCAAGCCTGTTTCTGGAGAGGCTGTTGAGATTTGTGATCTTTTAAAGCCAGATCTGCTTGAAGACGTGGACGCGTATGCCAATCTTGTTGATGGTGTTAAAGGGGTTATTTGCCCAAGTTCCTTTGCGAAGCATACAACTCAATATAGGAGAACTGCTTTGCTTGCCATGATGCAGAAAACTACGATTCTGGCAGCCGAGTTTATGCTCATTGACCAAGAGGATACCAAGGCTGCCAAGGAGATGGCAACAACTATAGCAGCTGAGGCTTATTCTTCTGCCGAGAAGATTAAGAGGTTGGAGTTTAAGCTCGTCATTTTGAAGGGGTCCGATATCTCTGCCCTTACTTCTCTGCAGCTTGAAATCACTTGCCAGAAGATCGTTGACTTAAAGACTAAGCTTGATGCGATCCAAGTTAAGTATGAAAGTGCAGAAAAAGAGATTGGCTGTTACATACCTCAGATTCAAGATCTTAAGCGTGCCGTTTATGAGCTTCGTTTTGCTGCTTACACAAAAGATGAAGAGTTGATTGCTCCTTATAGCCAAATGATCCACTTCAAAAAAATCATCAACAGGCTTAAACCCCAAATGTTAAAACTCTAAGGTGGTTTGCTCGAAGAGAACGAGTAGTTGAAGGGCGAGAAGGCTGAACTCGAGGCTTCGTTTGTTCAGAGTTAGGCAATTTCTACAAGCTGGGTTATAAAGATCATCTCTTTGGTAGGCCATCTGACTTTGAGTTTGCTGGGAAAGACTTCGAGACATTCTTTATTTCTCAAGAAGACTTGCTTGCCTTTACTTTTGAGGCTTCCATTGGTTAAATAGTCGGAGAAGTTGATGCCCAGGTTGGGCCAGTCGGGTGTGAAGCGCTAGATGATGCCATTACTGAGAGTGTTATGGCTGCTGAAGGTGTGGCAACCAAGTAGTTATAGGATGCCCAAGCTACTGAAGAGTAGTCTTCTAGGTAGCCTTTAGGATTTTCTTTGTTTTCCTTGTTTCTTTTTGCTTTGCTTGAACTCATTTGACCTTTGCTATTTGCTTATCAATTTTGCTAGAAAACTTAATAAACTTGCTTCCTTCGTTTTTCTTCATCTTCGTTTCTTTTGTTTACGCCTAACCTTTGACTCTTCGACCAACGGCAAGCGTGCTACTTTTTTTATAAGCAGACAAGCCCACGTAGCTTATGCAGCCGTAGGTTTTGGTGTAGAACTTTTGGGAAGTTGTTAGCCATATAGTGGGTAACTGGACGCGTTACTTACAGAAGTTGACGAGCCCGCGTGACCACTTGGCTTTTAACTTTAGCTTTCTTCAATCCTTTGAGTTGTGTGGCCTACATCATAACATACTAAAGATTTTTGGGGCATGAAATTCGCTAACCTTTCGCATTAAAAGTACACGGTTGTATAGAAATTCATAGGCAAAGGTCCAAGAGAACTCTTTACTTTTTATGTAACCAATTTCATGGGTTGCGTAGCAAGTATCACAACATTTTAGGAATTAGTGTAAATCTGAACGATCATTCTGCACTTAGCATAGATGAAGCTTATCGACTGCGTAGCATGTCAACAGTGAATAAAGCTTCGTATATGCAAGCTAACTATGTAACATTTCACAAAAATGTGCGGTTATATAAGTTTAGTGTTGCTTACAACTCAAAGGGTAAGCCGTAGGTAGTCTTTTGGAAACCGTAGGCTACCTTTGTGCACTCGGTAATAGGTTTAGGGTTCCATGGCAGCCGCCCATAGGTCGTATTATGTAATGTGCCTCCTCCATTTCTAAGGCCCGGTTATTCATGGATTAGGCCAAAAGACGAAAAATCTTTCAGTTAGCTAAGCCTTGAAAAAGACCATTGTGGTTACTTATAGGAATCCTGGTGCAAGCCATCATGTACCTAGTTACACTAGGGCAGCCTGATTCATCCACGTTTAGATATTCGGAGTGTATAGTTTATCCTCTCGCATCAGAGAGCAAACCCATGTGGGTGTCGATAAATTGGTTTACCCTCTCGCATTGGAGAGCATGGTTGGTCTTCAGGGGGTGCAATTCCTACGATAAATCCCTAAGAATAGCGCGACCTTCTTTTGAAGTGCAAGAGTGATCAGTTGTTGTAAGCATGCAGTTGTGCCAAGTTGTAAATTACTTCTGAATTTCTCATTGAAAAATGAGTGAAACGAACGAAAACTTAGCTGTAAGTAGGAACTGCATAACAATTGGATAGTCATTGGCTTGTGAGGTGGTGCCTGTCGAGCTACTTGAGTCTTCGTGCTTTAATGTAGCAGGAAGTCACGCATGGTACTTCCTCATATTGTAGGTGTTTTACTGTTTTTCGATCTCGTTGTCGTTCTTAGTGGCGAGGGTATAACTACCTTTGCCGCCTACTTTGCTGATCTTGTACGAACCTTCCTAGATAGGATCTCTCTTTTTGGAGCCTTCTCTGCGAGTAGTGATGAAGGCTTTTCTTAGGACTAGATCTCCGAGCTATGAATGCCGGATCTTGGCCCTTTTGTTATAACTGGAGAGAAGCTGCTGCTGGTAGGTTGCGATGCGGGTGATGACCTTTTTGCATTTATCCTCTGCCAGATCTAAGTTTGTGGCCATCTTCTTTCTTTTCTGCTCGATGCTTGGCAATAAAGTGTTGATACTTGGCACAATGTCATTGGGATGAATGATTGCTTCTAAACCAAATTCCAAAAAGAAAAGAGTCTTACTGGTTGCTTGTCGTTTAGTTGTGCGATATACCCATATACATCTGTGAAGTTCGTCTGGCCATTTTCCCTTTTTGTCGGAAAGGGATTTCCTAAGGCAATCGAGAATCGTCTTGTTGGATGCTTCAGCTTGCCCATTACCTTGGGGATACCTCGGTGTGGACATGTGCTGCTTGATGCTATATTTCTGGAAGAACTTCGCCAAATCTTTGCCTACGAATTGCAGGGCATTATTTGTGACGATGGATTAAGGGATGCCAGATCGGAAAATGATGTTCCTCCATATGAAGCGCTCCATATCCGTTTGAGTTGTGGTTGTCATGGGCTCTGCTTCCACCCATTTAGTGAAGTAATCAGTCGCCATGATCATCATGCCTTTACCCCTAGTAGCGGGCGACATAGGCCCTACCAATTTGATTGCCCAATGCATGAACGGCTAATGACTCATCTGCAGGTGTAGCTCACTGGCAGGCAATGCAGGTACTGCCTTGTAGTGGCAGCGGTCGCACTTTTGTACTAACTTCTTAGTGTCTTGATGCATAGTAGACCAGTAGTAGCTTGCGTTAAGAGCCTTCTGTGCTAAGGATCGATCTCAGGAATGATTTCCACAAACGCTTTCGTGGATTGAACTTAGAACCTTCAAGTCATCGGGATGCGCTAGGTAGCCGAGATGTGGTCAAGTGTAAGATCTTCAGATGAGAATGTCGTTCCACATGTAGTAGCGTGCTGCCTTTGTTTAGAGCTTTCTAAACTCCAATCTTTCCATGGGGAGTGTGCCATTGACAAAGTAATCTATAAAGGAAACTTACTAGTTTGGAGTTTTACTAACCTATGACACCTTGGGTACTGGTTCAACTTCTATGCTTGGTTTGTCTAGATATTCCACCAGAATAGAGCATTTGTGTTGATGGTTAGATGCGGAGTTTGAAAATCGAAATGAATTGCAAGTTTTTTCACCGGTAAGTCTTTTACCATTTAGAGGCCTGCTAGTAGGGCTCCGTAATCTGCTTTGTTGTTGGATGCTTTGAAGCCTAGAGTGATTGCTTTCTTGAGCATTGAATCATCTGGGGTGACAAGAAGCACGCCTACTCTCGAGCCCTTGTAGTTGGATGCGCCGTTGACGTGCAAATGCCAGATTTCGCCATCAGATGAGGCAAGCGTAGCTAGGGCGTACTCGGTTGCCTCTGGGGTGTTGTTGGGCCGCTTTGTTGCGTTGCCTAGACTTGGGGTGAATTCTGCTATGAAGTCCACCAAAGCTTGGGCCTTTATCGCCATGCGGGGTCAGTAAACTATGCCGTATTGGCCAAGTTCCAATGCCCATTTCATTATTTGTTGAAAAGCATATGAACCATTTAGGATTAATCGTAGAGGATATTGAGTCATGACGATGGCTATATGAGCTTGAAAATATGGTTTGAGCTTCCGAGCCGCAACAACTAGCACCAAGATTAATTTCTCGATCTTCGGATATCTAGTTTTCGCATCGAGAAGAGCTTTAGAAGTATAAAATACCGGCAGTTTAGCCCCCAGCTCTTCTCGCATGTGGGCAGAGCTCACTGCTACTTCTGAGACTGCCAAGTAGATGTATAAGTCATCCGCTACTTCTGGCTTGGATAGTAAATGAGGTGATGTGAGATATTTCTTCAGACCTTAGAAAGCTCTTTCACACTCATCATCCCATTTGTCTCGTTGTGCCCTTTTGACTACTTTGAAAAAAGGCTTGCATCGATCGGTGGACCACAAGATGAAGTGGTTGAGCGTAGCTCGTTTGGTCAAGCTTTGGATCTCTTTCAAGGTAGTTGGAGACTTCATCTCTCCGATTGCTCGGATCTGCTTGGGATGTGCTTCGATTCCTCATTGGGTTACTAAGTACCCTAAGAATCTGCCTAAAGATACTTCGAATGTGTATTTTGCGGGATTGAGCTTCATTTTGTACTTTCTAAGGATGTCGAAAGTTTTCACCAAGTTGCTGATGTGGTTTGATCGCTGCTTACCCTTCATCATGATGTCATCAATGTAAACCTCCATGGTTACTCCAATTTGCTTCTTGAATATCATGTTTACCAATCGTTGGTAAGTAATTCTTGTGTTCTTGAGGTTAAAAGGCATGACTTTGTAACAGTAGGTGCCTCGCTCGATCATGAACGTAATTTTCTCCTTGTCAGGCTTGTGCATGGCTATTTGGTTGTATCCGGAGTATGCGTCCAAGAAACTGAGCAGCTGGTTCCCATAAGTTGAATTGATTAGTAGATCGATTCGGGGAACTAGATAAGAATCATTCGGGCATGCTTTGTTGAGGCTGGTGTAGTCTACGTATACCCTCTATTTGCCCATCTTTTTCTTCATTACTAGCACAACGTTGGCTAGCCATGCTGAGTGTGCTACCTCTTCTATGAATCCGGTCTCTAGTAGCTTGTCGATTTCCGCTTCAATGATCATCACTCGTTCGAGTGCAAAATGTCTTCGCTTTTGGATTACTGGTTTGGTAGTGGGGTCGACGTGCAGCTTGTGGCAAGCTATCTTGGGGTTGATGCCGAGCATGTTGAAAGGTGAGTATGCGAAGATATTATAATTTTCCCTAAGAAAAGCCGTGAGTTCCTCATTTTCCTTTAGGTTTAGTCGTGAGCCGATTCTAGCAGTCTTCTCCGGCTTTTAGGGATTAAGAATGATATGCTTGGCGTCCTCTTCGGGTTTCCATCCTGTCTTTATTGCTAACGTGTTGATTTGGACACCATTTTCTTGATCTATCTACTGTAATTACTATTCGGTAGCTTCGCCATCCTTTTTGGACCTTAGTAGCCTCTATGAGGGTAAAAGTCTTCTTTTTTACTCTTTTAGTACTTGCACAGTGCATCGTCGAGATATGGCTTGGTTAGACTTGATTTCTCCGACTCATTCTCCTAGGATATGGATTCGAATTTTTTTGATACTTGACGGAGGTTACGGCATCTAGCTTTATCAGCCAAGGTCACCCTAGAATCCCATTGTAGGGAGACAGGTCACTTACTATTGTGAACATCTACTTTGAGACAACTGGTGGTGTTCTCACGTCAAGTGTAATGTGGCAGTGGAGGTGTGTCCGTTGAATCCTGTGAGTACCTCCGCTTGCAGTATGATTGTGCTTTCCAAGCTCATATTCTGAATTACTAAGAGCTGAAGTAGGTTAACCACACTTCCGTTATCAACCATCAATCTAACGACTATAGCATGTGTTAGTTGGACAAATATCACTAGTGCGTCGTCGTGTGGGAATTCGACGCCTTCGGCATCCTGCTCGGTGAAGCCAACGATGGGTCAATGTTGGGTGTTAACTGCCTGGACCTGAGAAACTAATAGAGATTGCTAGATTTTTCTTTTCTTGGAGTTATTGGTGGCCCTTAAGTGCATGGATTTTGTGAAGATGCCATTGATTCGAATTGTCTTGGTTATCAGCTCTTTGTTAGCGTTTACGTTCCTTCTAGGCTGCATAGCTAGCTTGTCCAAGTATCTATCGACCTTGCCTTCTTTCACCAGCTTCTCTAGGTAGTTCCTCTAAGTGTAGTAGTCATCGGTTATGTAACCAGGACCTCGATGGAATGCGCAATACTTGGTGTGGTCTAACTTGGAGGTATCTCCCTTTGACTGCTTTGGCAGCTTAAACCATGGTTCCCTCTTGATGTCGTAGAGGATTTGGTGGATCGGGATCGAGAACTTAGAGTAGTTCTTAAACGTCAGGCCTCTTTTAGTAGGGGATCGGTCCCTGCTCTTGACCTCTTTTTTGAGCTACTACTGATTCTTTTTGAGGCTACTCGGGTGCCTTGTTTGCTCGTCAAGCCTTGTCCCAAAATGCATGTTTCACTGCCAGAGCAAAATAGTCTGCCAGAGTTAAATCTTCTTTCATGATTAATTCTCCATACAGCGGGTGGTCTGCTGGGAGTCATTTTTGGAAGGTTGCACTAACTATCGAGTCATCGCATCCGACTATCTTTTCCTTCTTTGCTTTGAACCTCTTCACATAACCGCGGAGCGACTCCTTAGGGTTCTTTTTTACGTTGAACAAATGGTCGGACTTTTTCTTAATCGAGTGATATAATGAATACTCTTTGGTGAAAACCAAAGAAAGCTTATCGAAACTCCAGATAGATTACGGCGGCAAGGTGTGGAACCCATCTTGTATCTCGCCTTGTAAAGGAGTGGCGAATATCTTGCACATGATAGCGTCATTGTTTCGATAGAAGTTCATTGCACTTTGGTAGTGCTTCAATTATCTTTCTAGGTCTCCATTCTCTTTGAAGGATGTGAAATGTGGCATGCTAAACTTCTGTGGAGGCTCTGCCTGCTCGATCTCATCTGTGAAGGGTGACCTGCTTATGTTGGTTATGTCTCATCCTAGTGTCTCGTTAGTGACCTTGTTGCGTTAGAAATCACGTAATCGCTCAGTCATGAGCCTTTCTACTTCTTCCTGAATTTGTCTTTGTTGGGGGTAGCGAAGCTCTCGACTGCCCCCGGTTGCGACCTGCTAGTTTTGGCTGCTATTCTATGTGTCTATGCTGCAATTGCGTTATATGTGGTATGTTCCTAGCAAGCAAACAAATTTCTCACAGGCTGTTGGTTGAACTTGAGTCAGATTGAGTGATTGTTTCTTTCCGTCCGTCGTGTTGCCTATTCTGATGTGAGGTAAAGGATGTTCCTTGCGGGCCTAGCCGCGAATAAACACTTCACTTGGAAGGTTGCTCGTGTCGATTATCGGAATGTGGCCCCAACTGTGAGTGTATGCTCATCCGTGGCCTAATCAAGAGTGCACGCTCCTTCACGTGCTAAGACGAAAGTATATGCTATCTCGGGTGCCCAATTGGGAGTGTTCACTACCTGAACGCTTGATTCGTGGCTGGTCTATAGGCTGCTTTCCGAGACGTTGTGGGAGAGGTTCGTACTTTGCCCTTATCCTACTTCGGGATACCTCATCTGGGGCAAGTTGCATCTCGGTGTGCTATAAGAGCTGATTCACCATGATTGTCTGCTACGCGAGGGTGCTTGTCAACTTTATGACTTGTCGAGACAAGTGTTATTCGCCATTTGGGGTGGAAGAGCTTGGACGATATATGTCTCATTGAGTAATGGAAGTGTAATAGACTTTGCGCGCGAGATTTGAGTTGGGATATGTTAAATCGTCGGTCTAAAAGTCTGAAGTCGGGACGGTTAAACCGGTCTTAGTCCGGTTGAGATGGCATGGTGGGCCACAAAAATGGGCTAGGCCGCAGAAATAAGTCAGGCCACATGAGGGCGCGTGGGCATGGTGCAACGCTGGAAGCACATTGGATCTGGGCTCAGAGGATTGTCATTGTGGCTTTGGTCTGCAATGCGCCTTGGGCCTGCGCTGTTAGGGCAGCGGCTTAGGACAACTCATGATGGGTCTGGCTCAGTTGCCTTGTGGTGTGGGCCACTTGCGCCGCCTTCTAGGCTGCTAGCGCATCTGCTCTTTGCTTACCATGGGTTTGCTGCTATGGAGCTGGCCCACTCCCCATTACCATGATGGTCCCCATGGCTGCCATGGTGGTGGTGCTCATTGGTGGTAAAGTTACTCCTCTTATCGCCGCGTTGAGCCTCGTGGATCGTCATGGTGGGGCTATGTCTCGTCCTCCATCATTTGATCCGGATCTTTGAACGTAGGAAGTTCCATTCGTCGTGGCTTCTGAATTTCCCATAATTGTATTTTTCCCTTACCTCTATTCAAATAATTAAATAATTCTAGGAATAAGAAAGTACGAAAAATTTATGAAGAGCAAGAAATGAGAAACTTTGAATGCGAGAGTCTTCTTGGAGCATGTGAATCAAGCTTTCAATGAAAGCACCAATTTGTGGATGCAAATTTTGACCGTCTTCTCCTTTGATGGAAATGCATTTGCAAAATAATAACACCTAAGATTAAGGCTAAAAGCCTTATGTGCCCACGATGATTTGGGGGGGCTTTGGCCGAAGAATCTCTGATGCCAAAGTTAGAATTATGAAGAAAAAAAATGTGTTTAGGAGTTTGTGGGTAGCAAATGGCTTGGCTTTTTAGTGGGATAAAATGACTATTTATATGGGAGTGGCTGACCCTATTTGGAGAATAGTGACCGGCAATATATAATGAAATTGTGTGAGTAATTGCAAGATATTATGTGAAATAATATCTTGCAATTAATATAGCAATTAATCCTAAAGTAAATAGGAAATTAGGAGTTACCTTTTGAATAAGGATTTGATGAGGAGTGATGAGAGGGATTTGAATAAATACCATTTTGATCACCTTTAACTTTCCTTGATTGAGCCGTTATTGTCCGTTGCATGAGCGGGAATCCCGGTATGCCTCGAGGGTAATTTTGTCATTTTCGCCCAAAAGTTCATGTGTCACCTGTATAATTTTCTTGATTATTTTTTTGCTCCACACACCTCACTTCGCCGAGAAGGCTAATGAGATGACCTTTTCCAACGAGGACTCGAAAATCCTTGTTAACCAAGACTTGGATAAATAACCAGTCGGTCTCGAAGTAGTGTTGTTTATCCAAACTAAAAGTGCTCATTGGTTAGCTGATTCTACGGCTCCAGTGCTGTTTATCCAAACCGAAGATGTTGCTGGTTGCCTCCACTGTGTTGTTTATCCAAACTAAAGATATGTTGGTAGAAAAATAAAAATAAAATCTCAAGGTCTTTGAAAGGGTGTTTGCGCAGGGCAATTGTGAGTTGATTTAGAAGGCTTTGAATGATGCACTCCTTTCTCGATTTATAATAGCAATTTTCTTGATGACCGAGTTATAATTTTACTTGGACTACAATTCCTTAACCCAATCTGATTTGCTCTCGACTAATCCTAACTCTTATAGGATTATGAACTGAGCTTTTTAATCACTCAGATTTAACCCTTAACTCTCGACATCTTTTCTGTTTCGAAGCATCCTTAGCTTCTGAAGAATCCTTATTGTACTAGGATTCGACCACTTCACCCTTATCCAGGCGAGCCATCTTTTGATAGGATTCAGCCGACTTCCACTAGGCCAAGCCTAAAGTGGGAATATTCTTAATACTTCTTAATGGACTGAGGACAACATGGGCTCGGTCCAAAGTATTATTTTGAGTTCAAACAATGCCACATCACCTCTGAGGTCTTCGGTCTACAGCATCTGGCCGAACTTCGGCGTTGAAGAAGCGAATAATTA